CTTACTCAAAGATAGAGAGCTTCAACTTTCATTAATTATTTAACACTATACAGAGGACTCCAATATCTGTTTTTTTTCATGGTTCCACTACTTCTCATGCATATGGTGGAAGCTCCTTTCCCTGAGGATACAGTAGCTTGGAAATGGAAAACTTGGGCTTTACATAATGCAATCCATGCTTGGGCTTCTGCATTCTTTCAGTTTGCTTTCATCTTGAGTGGGTTGCTATTAACTTGTAGCTCTGCAAAGAACAAGTAATTTAATGCTGACTGGAATGTACTGTTTATAGAGTAGGTCTGAGTGAGTTCAACTCAACGACACCCAAATCTGTAACAGCAAACAATCAGCTATTCAAATGCTTCAAGAAGAAAGTCAGACTTCAACTGGTTCAACTTCTGTAGGACACAGATTTCTTGGAATCTAAAGGAAGTGCTTTCCTTAATTTCCAGTTACAGGCTTACATTTGAGCTAGTGTTCAAACCTCTGGTCTTATGTCAGTTACTTTAACAAGTGAATTTCGCTAACACTCAAAGATTTATTTTCTACATTTTGTTAGGAACTAATAATATCTTTGACATGATATCAGCTAAAGGTTAGTTAAAGGTGTCAAAATTTCTTAAGATGGGATTATAGTAAATGCAGTGACAATAACAGCACTATGCATAAAGCATGACTGAAGGACAATTTAACAGAAATGAAAAGGAGTTAAAAAGAAATGGCTGGAAAACTACGTTCTTTTTACCCTGCCACCTGAACTACCCTGGCAGCATTACTGTACAGTTTGTATTCAAACAACATGGGGATTGATCTTACAGCACGTTTAAATTGGCATCATTTCAATGAACAGAACAACTCTTGATTTGAAACAGCATAATGCTGATTTTCACTGGTGTAATATACCTCTGAATCATTCCAATATGCCCTACCTGCAATATGAAAATACACACTGATATTTAAGCAATTTCTTCCTTCACATGAATTTTCAGGGAAGGTTTTGAATACAACCAGCTAAAGGCTTTCTGAAATTTAAGTGATTAAAACTGTACACATAAGAAGGAAATTCTCTGGAAAGGAGAGTCTTGTTAGGTAAAAGATGCCAGCAATGGAAATAATTTACAGCAGGAAATGCTACAAAGCCTTCTTGGCCAATAACCTCTTCTACCAAACACCTATCATTTTCTGTAAGAGTCATAAGAACAGAACATATTAAATATGTCTGTAACTTTACCTCTTTTGGGATCAATAAAAGAGTCTATTCTGATGAAGCTCTTAAAACCCTTTTAGTATTTAATGAAGTGCATCTGAAAGGCCAGATTTCACTGACACTGTTGAAATTTAAACTGTTTAAACACGTTTTAGCAGTTATGAAGATTAGCAGAAAAATACAGCACAAACTAACACGCCCATCAGGAATAGAAAACCAATTTACAGTGAGAAGGTGTACAGGGCTCAGGAACTTGGTCACAGTATGGAGAGGCTGCATGGGGCCAGACAAAGGTATCTGGTTTAGCATGAGGAACATGAGAAGATACAAACAGTTGGAGAGGAGACTCTGTTCTTGAGAGAGAAGATGAGGAAGTATCAGAGGCTAAAAAGCGAAACAAAGAGAATGATAAGGGGGGGGGAGGGCGGTAAAGAAAAAAGATCCAAGAACAGGGTTTAATGGGCTCATGGATGCAAAAAAAAATGCAAAGCATTTATTTCACCATTCAGTAAGATGCTGATGGCTTTTACGTAAAATAAATATCACTTCTTCTGAAAGCATCATTAAAAAAATACCCTGTACTCATATGCACTGTCCTTCCATACTAAACTAGATTAAAAAAACAAGTTAAAGGTGTTTCCAATGCATAAATTTGTAGAATATATTTAAGGGGAAATAAAGACCAGAGTTTAAAACTCAGCTATTGTTTCTTCCTGAGATAAACTCAGTGGACTGCAACCAATACACAACAAATTGAATAATCAGTTTTTAAAAAGATTGAGTGCAACTTACCTTAACCAAAATAGCCAACTGAGTTTCAAGTGATTTGCATATGCATATCTATCCTTGGACAGGAAATGTGCCTGCCTCCCTGTGAGATTTTCCTTCAGTGATTGAGTCATCAAAACTTTTTTTTTCCTCTGTATTTATTTCCTTCATCAGTATAAACAAATATGGGTGCCTGCCACTCATGGCAAACCAGCTGAAATGGAAGGCAAACTTAAAGTATATTTGCCACAGTTATTGATCAGGGCATTAGAATTAACCTTGTAAGAAATCCACAATACACTCTTTTTATACTTCAAAGGTTACACAAATTCAAACTTGAATCGTTTAATAATTTCTGATTAAGAGATTGGTAAGAGCTCTATATAAAACTTCAAGACTTTTTTTTTTTTTTCAAATTTCAACTTCTGCTTAGTTGATATCTCTAAGAGAAAGAATGTTTTACACCCATTACAGCTAGATGTATTTATTTAAAGGATTTTAAAATTCAAATTGCAAGTACATAAGACTTCAGATCTGAATTTTAGCTCTTAGTTCTTGGTACTCAGATTGACAAAGGGGGTCATCATAATAGGTGGCAAGCAAATATAGGAAGGGGAAAATTTCCAGATGTTCATGTGTATACACACACATGTAAATGCAAACACATGGTAGCAAGGTACTGTATAAAGAGGAGGGGAGCAAACATTTCTGTCCGAAGAGGATTTTCTGCAATACCTTTCCTGCATACCCCTATTTTACCATTTGTTTAGTTATTTAAATGTCAAATTCCTTCTGCATTTTAAACACTGGGGATCCACAGAATTTGCATATGAGCTGTTTCAGCCCATAAAGGTCTAATATCTCTACCATCTACTGTTTCTATCATCTACCTTTTGTGAATGATGTTTTTTTGACAGTCTGCTTAAAAGTTTTCTCACTCAAACACTACGACAGGCTTGACTTCCTTTATTCTTATAGCACCATAACCTTTTAATTTCTTCAAAATTTTTATATAATCTTCTGGATGAGGAATCTGGACAAAACTTGGATACGAAGCTTTTATATGTATACTACTGTATAGATGCAGTAGGTAACAAAGCTCTAGTCCTTACCAGAACTTGAGTATTGGTATTGCAACAAGGTTTCTTCTGCTAAAATTAACAATTAAAAAAAATCAACCCAAAACCCCACTCCAACTCCCCAGAAAACAGAAAAAAAGACTCCCCCAACCCATTCTCCACAATTACCTTTTATAAGAAAAGTAATCAAAAAGGGAGCACATATTTTTAATTTCCCACCCTGTCCTCCTTGACAGTAGAGATAAGCTTTAACAACACAGCTGAGATTCAGAAAAAAAAATGACAAATTGGAACTTCTAAAAAAAGAAAATCAGAACATATACATAGATCCAGTTTTCCAATCAGGATACTGGCTGCAGGATTTGAATGTGGGGCAAACTTTTTGGAAAGCTCACTGTTTTGGATGAGGGTTCATCTTTACTTAAAAGCATTGAGGAACATGCAGTCTTTAAAAAGCAGCAATTCATTATGCTTTCAAGCATGGCAGATACAAAATAGGACACCCTGAAGGTGTAGATCAAGAGCTTTCTGTCACCATGGGGTAAAAACAAACAAAACCCCACAACTAACCACAAAAAACTCCCACAACGCTCCCCCACAACCAGCACTTTTTTGAAGGCATAAAATAAATTATCTATGTCTATCTATATATGTATATAAAACCTTTAAAATCTAGTTATGTCTTTAAAATGAAACAATGAGCTAGACTAGAATACAGAATGATAACTATAGAATGATATAATGTTATCTTATACATTTTAATTATATGAATACAAGAAGACAGAAAATTCCACATTAGGGGCAGCAAGCTAAATTATGCCATACTTCAGACCATATGATATTACAATTCTTTGAAATCAAGTAACCTGATCTTCATAATCAAAACAAGCACAGAACACTTTCTATTTACTTACATGGTTTCAAAATTGAGTGAACGTTTGATCCAACTTTAACTTTCAGAAGTTAAATATCTAAATTGGATTTTTCTCTACTTCACAATTCTGATACGAAACTAAGAGATACATCATACATTTCAATGTATCTTAGTTTATCGGTCAGTGTATTCTAATTCACAGGCTGGCAAACTCTCCCATAAGCTGTTCGTGTCAAAGTGTGATTAAGCAAAAATTCACATCTGAAAGGTGCCAGGAAAAGCATGCTACAGTTTTGAGATAAAACCCAGGAAACAAAAAACCTCCCAATATTTAGAATGCAAGTAACATACTGTAAAAGTTTTATGGAACTAGCATCATCATGGTAATTCTTTCAATTTTCTCAGAACGCATGGCTCACCTGCTCTTTGGTTACATGACTTTTAAGGCATATCAATTTGCATTGTGATAACTGAATATATTGAAATACGCAAATTACGTATTGGAAATACTTACTGACATGTAACAATCTTACCTTTTATGTAGTCCACCTAGGCACTGCAATTTTTGATATGTATGTCAAAATATCACAGTATATATGATTTATAATAAATACATTTTGCTTATAATGTCAAAGCTATGTCTACGGTAAGCCAACCCACCCATGTAATTATATTTTAATATATTAGATATTTCAATGAATTTAATTAGAAATGATGTCTTCGAGTTTTTTTGAGATTATTTTCTGAAATTTTTCTGGTTGACCTTTTAAAAAGAAAATATGTGCAAATACCGAATGGACAGGAAAAGCATAGGACTTTGGCAAATAGGCATAGTAATTTTAAGCCCTTGATTAAGAGAACACCACTAAGCTCAGCAAGATCCATACTATAGGTATTTTAAATTTAGAGAGAACGAGTAATTCATAAATAAAAGAAGAAAATATCTTATATTGCACAATGTCTATTTCCACTTATATGACAACAATGAAAATTATTTCATTCTGCAAAATAAAACAAAAAATCAGGCTATGGCCAGACCAATTTACCTATTTTATTGTTCAAATGCAGTTCTTACCTGTTTCAGGATCACTGAAATCTGGTAATGTAATTGTATTAAGCTGTCGTCTGTCAGCAATAGCTCTGTCTAACAGGCTGCTCCCACGTCCGGAATCACTGTAATGAAGTATAGAAATTGTAAGCTATTAAACTATAAAATTATATACTGAGATACAAGTTTCATGCTGCCCTCCTCCCACAGAGGTTCTTGCTATAAAAGTTCTTGCTATGAACAAATTTAGTACCAAGCACCACTAACCACTCACAGTTCGGTAAGCCAGCTGCACTGAAACAGAATTCAGCTGAGCAAAACTAAATCCGTATTTACTTGAGCAATTCTGTTTTCATAATGAATACAATCGTGAAGGGAATACAGGCTTTTAATTTGATTCACAGCTAAGAGCTTTACAGAAAGGATTTATTGTACCTTCAACTTCTCTATACTATGAGGTACAGCTCTCACAGTAGGCCAAGATGGCAGATGTAAGTTGAAAATCCACACTTTTCCCAGACTGAAGAGAAACACTAAACTCAGGACATCTGATTTTAGGTAAAGATGTTATAAAGATGCCATAAATACATTTCACATAAAAAGGCATCACTTTTATCTCTAGTTTTGGTGTGGGTTTTTTTGTTTTTGTTTTAATACACATGCACACATACTGCCTAACATTGAATTTGATCCTAACCGCACAGTAGGAACATTTTGAACGCTTCCAACAGCTCAGGAGCCTAAGCAGTAGCAGTGGTTTTCACTGCTTGCTCCTGTGGACAAATGCACTTAAGTTCTACTTTAGTTGTGACTCCATATCTATCCCTCAGTTGATATTCTTGCTGGAAAACTAGTTGCTCCTACAACTACTATTACAGATTCAGCAGAGGAACAGGAACTGAAGAACTAAGTGCTGCCTCTCCTTAAGATGAGGTGAGTATTGAGAGACACTGACAGAAAAGTTTGAGGAAGAACATATAGGCACTCCTTTAACATTTTATGGTTAATACAGTAATTTCATTTTTAGGATTGTAAGTCCGGTACTATTCCCTATCAATTAATGCCTTTTTAAAAACCTAATTTAAAAATAAAAGCACCCCACAAACTTAAAAATAAATAAGCTTTAAAGTAATTGGGCTTTTAGCCTAACTTAGCAAAGTGCAAACATTTCTCTGATTCTCACTGAAGAGAAAAAAATCCACAAAATTCCTACCTTAAAGTAAAGCCTGAGAGACTTTAATCTAAACTGCAAGACTTGTATTCAGTACATCTTTCCACTTGCCTTAATTTTAAAATCCCTTCCTTTCACATTTGAACTGAGAGAAGGGCAAGAAGCCTTTCAGCAACTATTTACAGTTCCACACATCAAAACCCAGTGAAACAGCTTTCCGTCTTTGTACAGCTGTTACTAAAATGGCGTAAATAAAATTTTGCATTACCCTAACATTATTGCATGACTGATTTCCTTGCAAAATGATGCCATTATAAAAATCCACATGAAACAGAAGGGAACTTTCTGGGACACATGCTATCAGCTATAGTTGTTACATCAGTTGGTGCATATTTTCTGGTAACCGCTGTATTAATTACTTCCCCAATCCACAAGCAATGACATGCCAAATGTTGCTGACGAGGAGAGCCAGGCTTAGCATTAAGTATCTTCTAAGCACAGCACTGGGACTGTGGTTTGTTCTGTTTTCCTAATGCAAACTAAGAACTGGAAAAGAACTGATCTATTTTCTAGTGAACTGCAAGCAGCAGGCTGAAGATAAAACATTTAAACCTTCTAAGTCTTCCATCACAAAATAAATTTTAAATTCATATTAACCATCTCATGAGTAAAATGTTTGTATGCCAATTAAAGACAAAAGAAAATTGTTCTAAGTCAGCTGAATAAAGTTAAGGCACAGTGTTGCACTTAGCCCTTACTTTGCATGGTGTATCTAGTTATATATAATTTATTTTCATTGTTAAAAGATTATTGAGGACACTGAACTCAAGTTTACTCAATAAAATCTGATTAATTGCAAGAAGAAATATTTAACGTAAAACACGGCTTATCAAAAAAGTGAGTTCTTATTGGGAAAACGATACATCAAAATTAGTTTTCAGTCTAAATCAGAATAGAAAAAGATGTTTCAAATAAGCATAAAGGATATTTAAATCCTGGAAAAACAACATTCTAAAGAGGTTTCAAATGATTAAAAGACCTTTTATTATTGGCTTAAAGAACTATTAAAAAAGCTTCAATTATTTCCAGTGGGAGGCATAATTTTAAAATGGTGCTTTTCAACAAAATGAAGTGTGTGTTAAAATTACAGAGGTTGGAAAATCTAAGTTTTCACAACAATCCTGCATCATCGTTCTTCATTACATCTGGAGTGCACCTGGGTGAATAGAACTTCCCAGTCACATTTCAGGTCTGAGTGATAATTGTTATGCCAGTCAGACCAACCTGGATCACCGTGATACAATATGAAGGTATTCAGCCCTTAAATTTCACACGGCCATCCCAAGAAAGGTTACAGCTTGGTACCCATGTTCACTGTTTGATACAACTCTGAATGCGTGATTTGTGAAACCTGTCTCCTTCCATCATGACACTTATCCACAGCTCCTGTCCATTCCATTCCTAATTTGATTTAAATTGGTTACCGTAAACCAGAACTTCAAGAAAAGCTTTAAATGTCAAGATCAAAAAGCAGTAAAAACTAGCAGATGCAAAGTAGTCGTCGTTAATTTTTCCACTTAGATGTTCTTGAAGGAGAACAGTGACATGAGATTTGGCAAACATTGTTGTTTGAAGCTGACACAGCCAAGAGTAAGTTTTCAGAGTCACTGCTGATGTCTGAAGGAAGCATTACTTAAAGTATATTTAACATGGCACAGTAGCTCTTAGCACGACGACAACAACAAGGTAATGACAAGCCATGAATAGAGCCCTGATCTGTGTAGAGGATGTAACAGCAGATATGGAAGGTGAAAAGTTATGCCGGAGTACATGCGAGGCCTCACTGAAATTAAGCTTCCGTAGAAATTGTAACTATTCTGTGCAGCGCAGCATTCTGACAATAACCTCTTCACGCCCCCTCCCCAGCCAACTAAAATAAACCACCGCCCACCAAGTTAGAAGAGAAATTCTCTCCCAGGTCGCTGCTGCTAGTTCAGTGACTTTGAGTTGAAAATTATTCAGCTCAAACTTTTCTGGTTGCTGACGTACTTGTTTTCTGTAACCCCTGAGTCCTGCTCCCTATTCCACAGTGCAGTATCCCAGTCTCTTTCAACGTGTGGTGGCTGACTGGGGTCCCTTCCCAAGCTTTTCCTGCCACACCCTCCAAACTTTCCTGCTCTGAATTGCTCGCTAGCTCACTAAGGAGCGAAGCAATTTGCCCTCTGGCCATTAGGCCAAATCTCTCAATCTTCTTGAAGAGATGCATGTGTTTACATAACTGAGATGAAACAAAGTAAGAGCAAAAAAACTGAACAGATAATGTTCATTATACTGCTGTACAGGTATCTGGTGCCACCTGGTACAAAGCTCTTCTACTTCAGCATCTCTTCTCCAGAAATTGTCAACACTTCAAACAACCAGAGAGCAGGAAATTCTGCTTGTCCTCTTCTCCACGTACTTGATAAACATGTTGAATAGTACCAGCATGGATTTCTGCAAAGTGGCCTTCCTGTTTATTTCACAGCTTATCTCAATATATATGGCAAAGGACCTTCACAGAAGCATTTTGGAAACCCAAATAGGACTATATCAACTTATACAAATACTTGCTAATGCTTTTGAATAACCTAAATGCATTCATAGACAAGACCTGCCTTTAAAAAAACAAGCCATGCTGACTGCCAGCACATCATATTTATCCATGTGACCTCTGATGTTTCTAAAGCCTTAATTAATGCCTAGGCCTCCTCCACTTTATTTAATGAAAGTCCTTGAACTAAATTTCCACTACAGCAATCTCTCCAGCAGCCAATATAAAATGCCCTATAACCCAGTTTGAGGAAAAAAAATCAAGACAAGACAAGTACATTGAGCCCCATCAAGGAGAATGGCAGAGTTACCCAATCTCTGTAATCAGTCCTCATCATTGCAGAGTTTATTAGCTTTGGCGTACCTTACTTCACAGAACTCTGGGTGGTTTCTGCATGTCCATCAGCTGGTATCACAGAGGATTAGTTTGTTCATACAAAACACCACAATAAGTAAAAGCAGGACTGCTGGCCTAATATTGCCCTGAAAGGCTACTGCACAAGGTATTGAGCAGCATAGAATTCTACAGCATCTTACCTTGGGTTAGTGAGATTGTAGCAGGATTTCCAAATCTGGAGCATGTGTTTACAGGTTAGGAGTGCTTCATCTGGGCCTCTGCACAGGGACTCCAGTTTGACTTTTGTAAACAGTAATCTAGTGAAAAGGGAAAGGAAATTAAAAGTGAAAGAAAAGATATTCCAATTCAAGCAAAACATTTTTAAAGATAGCCAACATACACCAAACTGGAGAAAACACAACTTCAAAGACAGTGTTAATTTAAATAATTGTTTCATGAAATAATTACAATAAAGTCAAATATCTAACATCATCAAAATAAGAGTGCTTTTTACAAGATGGCCTTTTCAACTGGACAGAAACAATAGTTGACAGGATTTAAAAAATTTTTTTAAAAGTTAAGCAAGACAATATAGCTTAGTGAAATTAGCAGGACCACTAGAAACAATACTTCATATGTTGAAGAGAAAAGAGATGTCTTCACTAAAGAAAATCGTTACTACTTTTATGAGAAAGGAAAGTACTTTCCATTAACTAGCTTGGATGGTAATTATCTAACATATAAGTGATGAAAGAAAACAGCTTGGTACCAATGCAAGTTGCTTCCCTATAACGTCAACTTCTGGAAATGGAAGAGGCTGTACTGAAAAAGATACCACTAGACCTAAGATAGTCTCTTGGGAGGTAGCCAGCACTGGTAAGGTCAACAAGGAAATGTAACTGCACTCCACATTATGTTGCCATCAGCAGGCACAAAAAATGATGTTTGACTTGAATTTTTAACGTTTGGAACATTTACAAGTCACAATCTAAAGGAGGCATATCATTCATCAAATATGCAGCAAACTATTCATAATGGAAACAAACATGTTCGCCGGAAGCCACTATAAATTAATTCTGATTTCCAAGTTGATATTTCTAATGGGAGCAAGACAAATAAAGTGCATAGCCTCATAAGATGACAACTGCATAATCCTTTTACATTCCATGTATCAGTAGAAGGTTCTCCGCAGAAATTAACTTAGACACCTTCCTGGATAATTAAAGAATATAAATGCAATGCAACAATAAAGGAGCTAGTCAATTGGTATGCACATGTATAGGAGTCACAGCATCTGGGAACAGATAATACACTGGAAAAATACTAATTCAAAAGCAATTTTTAGTAAATTGCAAGATTAAAGAGCACAAAGCAGGAGGAGAGGATGCATATAAAACTGTTAGCCTACTTTCTGTTTTTAAACCCAGGTGTACTTTGACATTTTATTCCAGTGCAACCTTAATCATCCTAAGTGAAAAATTTATATGATTGGTCATATGGTTTGCGTGGGAAGACTGAGACGGGTGTAGAGGGCATGTGTGAAAGCTCAGAACTTTCTTATCCCAAATACAAACTTCAAGGCTGCTAATAGTAACTGCGAACTGCCAGAGGGTTTTCTCAAGAATAAGAAATGACATCAAGTGCCTCAGCAAGTTACAGTAGCTAAAGCTTCGGTGTTGCACTGAACATCTTTTGCAGAAACTACCCAGCATGTAAACCTAAAAATGATTCACACTACCTTATTTGTACAATGTTTGTGTTGGTGGCACTGAGGAACCAAAAGGCAGGTCACTGAGTTAGTTAAAGAGAATGAGCACCTGTGGATGAGCAAGGTAAATAAGGTCATATTGGAGTCTCACCTGACGTCTTATAGGAATGCAGAACAGAGTAATCAGTTTAGCTTTCTTCCTATCAGTAAATCAGATCTGAGCATACAGGAAACTATATAGATAATTTAAAGTCCTATTTCATTTGGCAGTGCGGTCCTCTCTAGGTATTCATTTAACTGTGACTATATCACTGGAAGAAAAAACGTCCAGGTCTTGCTCAAGAGAGAAGGAAAAATGACAAATAACATCCTCCTTCCCTCACACTACTACATCTATCCTACCCTTAACACACGCACATGCACCCCCACCCAAAGAACAAGACCTAGGCATCAAAACCCAAACCCAAAATCACAGGAATCTACCTCATACAACCCTTTCCCTGTTTCCCCTGTATGTAAAAAGAAGAGAGTTCTTTTTATGATTTGAAGAGCCTATAGAAGCTCAATCTTTAAAAATTTGTGATCATAAAGCACTTTACAAAAGTTATGGTAGATAATAAATTCAGAAGCCCTGAATTTACAAGTCATTCAAAAAGAAGATAATAATAATATATACCTTATTACGTACAGTTTACAGATGGACTGAATTTATGTTAATACCCTTGAAGCATTTAAGACTTTCAGGAATTCTGTAGCAGAGAGAAGGCACTGGATCACTAAATCACTAAGATTCAGCATGCAAGAGCTAACAGAAAAATCAAGCAGGAGATAAAAAGGGAAGGGGTTTGATTATTAAGAAATGACTTAAACATGTGTACAAAATAGCAGGAGTCTGTGCAACAAAAAAGTAAAAGCCTGGACTCCTGGTGCAGGATTCAAGGGCAAGACAGCAGAATACAAATACACTTGTAAGAATTAAAGCAACACATCAGCGTTTGATGCCGTTGGATGCACTTGATACACATGCAATATCATCCCTGTTTCTTATGCATTACGGCAATCAAGGGGGCTGGATGGTTGCATATTTCCCAAAATACAAACAATAAACAAATTTTGATGGAAAAATATTCATAATTCTAATAAAGAAAGGCTAGGCAATTGTATCTAATGGGGGGGAAAAAGTACACTGGTGTGGGATTATCTAAATAATCCACAAATAATCTTTTGAATCGAAAAGTTTGCATTTATAAAGCCACACAGAGCAGTTTCCCTGGGGGAAGGAAGGGAAAAAAGAGGAAGGAGGCAATGTGCAGGAGGAACACCATGTGACAAACGGGTCTCCCGAACTAACTTAATTCTTCCAAGCTCCCCTGAAATATGGCTGGACGTACGAGTTCATAACAAGATAAATAAGCAGCTCAAGGACAAGTATTATCAGGAAGGTATTGGAAACCATGAGGTAGGTGATCTGAAAAAGGATTTTCTGAAAGGTCAGCTTCAAGCATCTGGGGAAACAACACTTCTGGAACACAGCCTGCAATACTGACACAGAGTATTTTAAACTTTACCAGGGACATTTTCACACCTGTTTTTAATACGCTGTTAAAAATGGTGAAGAATGGATAAAAACTACCAAGAGATAGGATGATGAAAAACAAGTGGTGCATTTTATGAGTATCACGAATTATCTGGTACCTGTTTGTAAGAGTCAGAGGTTTAAGTTACTGGCACACGGTGCAGAACAAAACATGGCAGAGTAACCACAGCGCGGTGGGACAGCACTCATGACTAAGAATGGAAGTACTGAAGAATAGACAATATTCAAAACAGAAATGAAGAGTAGAACAATGTGTCTCAGCAACATGTCAAACTGGAAAAAATACAACAGATAGCAAGAACAGAAATCTGTTTGGGTCAAATCCTTCGGGGAAGGAAAGTAGGTAAAACACGTTCTGTTAAAGACATTAGACTAATGGGGCATTTGTTCCAGCATCCATGTTTGATATAGATGTAGATTTTTAATGTTAGATAAAAATAAATTTAATTGTATCTTTTTAGGAGACTAATTACCCAGACACAAAATGGAGAACAAATCAATCTCTTAAGTGGAAAGGCTTAGTTATTCTTGGAGCTAATAGCTGATAAATTTATGAAATTGCTACTGAAGCGGCAAATGACTCCATTACTTCAAGACTGTTCTCACTAACTAACGAGGACATTATAAAACAGCTGCTCGTAACCTAATCCACATATTACTGGATTTTTATTTAAATAAAGAATGAAAAATCCCAAATGGGTTTATAACTAGGTCTTTGAATTTCAGCAGCATACACCCAAATAATTTGATAGCGAAGGTTAGCAAAGACACCTGGAGTATAGCAGAAGCCTGGCACTAAACACAAAGATGCTAAAACGTTTCAACGTTGAGATCTGTGTCTCAAGTTGAAGGGGTAAAACTCAATGTTTGACAAGCCAATCATTGCTAACACTGTGCAAGTAAGACATCAGAAACATGCAGAGATCCTATCAAGAACAGCAGGGGACAGAGAGAAGAGAAAGAAAAATCAGCACAGAAAGCTGTATCTCAGGTACATAATAAAAAATAAAGGTAAACTATACCTGAACACGTTATTATACAACCAACCTCCACCATAATCCTTACCTATGTTGTCTCAGATATGAAAACAATAACAAATAGAGAATAGGAACACTCTATAGTGATTAAAGTTAACCACTCAAAAGTAATGCGTTTGTCAGAATTATGGAAACAGTGACACATAAGATTGTCCTTTCTAAAGTAAAACTTTGAGGAAAATATAACTTCCGTAATGACTGGGGAACACCAACTATAATCACCAATGTTCTTTTCAGGAGGGAAGGCACAGACGAATATATGCAATCTTAACATGCAAAAATGTATACAAAAATAGCATACAAAAAATGAAATGAGCATTAGATAACATTGTTAATGGAAAAATGGGTTATAGCTCAAGTTTAATAAAGAGATTGTACCAAATGACCTGTATAACAGTTATTCCAAACCAGAGCTGCCCATCAGCCAGGTTCGTCAAGGTGGGACAGCTGTGAAGAGGGCATATGCAATTCTGGAAGATACTTGTTGGAACAGAAAGAGAAAGGGACAGTGCCATTGTACAGTACCCCCGTGAGAACACATCTGGAATGTTATACATAATTCTCATTATAACAGCTAAAAAACACACACACAGAAATTTCAAATTGGAGCAGCTGCAGAGAAAGGCTGCAAGGGTGCTCAGCTGACTGCAGACTGCAGAGTATGAAAAATACTTCATTTAGTCAGTCTAGCAAAAAAAAAGCCAAGAAGAGGTACAAATGCTATCTATAAACACAGATGAGGCAAGCACCATTAAGGGAAAAGAACAATTTATCTAGAGGATAATATTTCCACAAAAATGAGTATATATAAAGGCCATACAGACTATTAAAACATTAAGGGTGGAAATTAGGTCTCCAGATTATAAATGAAATGGTAGAAAAGTCTGCTTCCTCACAATTTTGGATAGACTGCAGAAGAGGTAGAGCAAATAACCTAACTTTTCTTAAAATACAGCTGGTAAGTTCATGAAAAGT